GGTCGGCGCCGAATCTCGCCATACAGCGAGGGAAAGATCAACACCTCCAGAGCAAAAAGATGCATTACAATTACGGGACTAATGATCTAGTTGATGTACCCATTTCTGAAAATGGTACGAAACAATACATATAACATTATAATAATTTATATTTTTAAAATTATTCAAAGTTCGCCATAAAGAAGAGAAGTATTGCGGTAATCGGTGAATCTTTCTTAACTGAAATATATTTTGAGAAAACTGAAGATGTGCGCTATTCTCTGATTCGTTAAAAAATTGGTGAAAAGCAACTTTCCAGTACAGAAAAGGGGAAAACTACAGATGTCTCTGAACAAACTTTTTGCGGATGAAGAGGGGCGAAAATGTTCGCTTTCTGCCAATGAGCATGTGGTGGGAAATTCTATATTACACAAAGTAGCTTTTGCCCGTAGGCAAATCCTCATTTACTCATGTCGGACACCTTCGCACACGCGGTTGCCTAACATACAAATAGAATATCTTTAACATTAAATGATATAGCCCACGCCCGCCGCGGCGCGCCGCCAAGGAAATTGTTGGCCGCGGTACCCGCTGGACAGCGCTGGAAAATAACGAGAAATCAGCCGAAGAGGAGACGCCGCGCTACCCCTACATCGAAGGGATTCTGCTTTGGATTCAGTTTTCCCTCCACCTTTGTCTATTCATCACTGCACACTCGCTGTGTGGCCTGCTCCCTCAAGCCTCTTTACAATGATTCTCTTTTACCTTGTTCTGCGCTCGCGCGTTGGCCGGGTTCCTCAACCTCCGATCGGAACGTCTGTGCCGTGTCTCACGACCTTGGCCTAGTGCGACCGTGCTGTCGCCGCACTCCCCTGCAACACAGCCGTCTTGATTCTTGGAACGCCCGGCACCAGAACAAGACAATCGCCTCTCCTTCGCCACTCCTCTCGCACGGCGCGCCGGCGCCATTGCAAGGGCCTCACGCGTGTTCTATAACGGCGTATTTGTTCTCGGCGTTCTTTACGACGCACTCGCACTCGTGCAGCTAATTTTAATACTTCTCCCTACGCCTCACAGCAGCTCACGTATTCACATTCGGGGCCTCTATTCCGCCTCGTACTCGTTACTTTGCAAAGCTCCACAGTAGATAATTTGCCAATTGTAACCATAGATCTAATGTCACAGACTAGTCTAGTCAAACCAAAGTCTAAATTTTCCACACTTCTAATTGCTTGCATGAACAATTACTTACCTACGTATTGTCGCCAAAATAGCGTCTTTCACTCCGCTCTCAGCTAACTGGGAACGCACAACCGACCTCGCCGACGACTCCCTCAACGAGAAGGAGCGGTCCGATGTCCGGCCACTCCTGGAGGGGTAACACCGCGTCACAACCCCCTACCGACCGACCCCTCGGCGGCGGAGATGCGGGCAGCAGAGGCCAGACCGCGCTGTCTCGCACCTGCAATAGCGGTGTGCATGCATTGCGAGGACGTGGGACGTGTCTGGGCGTTGCCGAGGCTGCGTGAGCGGCTGGGGTGTTTGGTGCATGTTCCAAACGCCACATTATTCATTCATTCATTTATTTATTTATTTATAGTGAACAATATTTATGATGTTTATAATATAACTTGTAAACATTGTCAGAAAATGCTTTTAACAAAATTAAAAAAAAAGTTTAACGTTAAATGAAAACTTTATGGTTTTAAATTAAAAAATATTAATAATTGTTATTAAAATCGCTGAAATCAGTGTTGTAAAACGACGAAGAATTGGGATATTGTATATTTCATTCTACGATATAGATATGAACAGATAATTTTTAATAAAAACGCATATCAATTTACAAATTAAGAATTATCTTACATACAATCATTACTGTCCTGGACTGAAGAAAGTCGACGGGATTTTCCAAAATATGTCTCAAGCCGCTTCTACTTTTTCTTTTCATTCGATTTTTCTCTTTTATTCTTATTCTCTTTAGATATTTCCTTTCTCTTCTTAAGAACTTATTAAACGCGCCGTCTCCAGTCGAATGCAATCGATCTATGCACTATTCTTTTGTTTCGGGCAGACTTATTGCGCGAAATGTCACAGCGGCCCACGATCACTCGCTTGGCACCTAGACAGACACCTTGCTCCGTCAATGTTGTTTCCGGTTGCATCGCAGCACCGCTTGTCAAGCGGAGTAAGAAAAATGCATGAGCTGTAACATGCCCCTGGAGAACAGTCGAAGACATTTCCTACGTACCACTAAGCTAAAATATAGCGAGATTCAGGATTCCCAGTCGTAACTAAAAGGCAAGGGACAGAACGTGACGTTACTTTATCAATACATTTTTGACGTTTCTACAATTTATTCTTGTGTGTCTCATTTTTATTTTTCCTGTACTTTTACCATTTTTATTTTTTCTCTAGGCCTTTTTGGGGGTGACATAGCCCCCTCGATTGCCACTGCGATTACATCAGTAGCATATCCAATATCTTGAGTTACGCATCTGAATTTGTTTTGATAAAAACATTTACATCATTTTCTTTGCTTTCTAGGGTTCTTTAAAAACATTTGAAGCGTATTTTATTGATCATTTTTTGCGTGTTTTTTTTTTAAATACGCCAACTTTTTATTACATTCCTCCATCCTAGAGATACTATAAATGCCTGACTGTAAGTGGAGTGTGATCGGTAAATTAACATATTGTTTTATTCAAAATCTTTTGTTCGAATGTGTCATATTATATGGAATGATGCTCTTCAGCTCTCACTGCGATGTGATTTAAATCGTTTTAAAGATTTTTCGAAATTATTTTTACTTTCTCGCTAAGGAATAGAGAGAATGGTGCGCGATAAAGCGGCTAATTTTCGGACAAAAAACTTTTAATACAGGGCTCTGGTAACAACACAGTGGATAAATCCAATTGCTAAACGCAAACAAAAAGATTTTTAACACGTGGTGAAGCCAGAATTAATGTTCTGTGAGTCCTTGTTACCGAAAGTGCGAATGATAGCAAAATGTCTGTCCGTGCGCCTGTAAACAACGTTCAGCTGATTTTCTCCAAAATATGTATTCCCCAACCAATCTGGCTGATGTCGCGGCCCCTAGAATTTGAAACCGATATTTTAATTTTGGGGGAACTTTACATGAAGCTCCTAGGGCATTTTACAAATTTTCAAAAAAAGCTCCGTCTTCGATAAAACATGTTAGTGTGAAGGACGTTGGAGAGAATGGTATACGTTTCAAATTTTAAAATGAAATTGACTTGAATTTTGGAAAACTGCGGGAGTTCAAACTTTTTTGGAGTCTTCCAACGACTAAAATATTAAAGATAAAGATTTTCCCTTAAATAAAATCTCATCCTTAAAAATATATTTTGAAATAAGGTCAGGTACAAGTGTGACTGTCCTAACTACCTAGTTATGGCGATCCAGCGTTGCCCCTGTTTCTCAGTCTGTAGTCTATTTAAAGGACGAATGCGTGATGGGGCTTTTTCTCATGCTCGTAATGCATTAAAACATAAAACTGCATTTTCTCAAGTGGATTTAATATCCTTTTCATCTAAGGTGACGTCTCCCGTTATAAATGGGTCTTAAAATTAATTTAAAACTAACTTATCTTACTGATGCACATTCAGGCCAGAGTTCGCCCTTTCAGGCAGAGTGGTGCCCTTCCCGGCGTCCATGACCCCGGTGACAAGGGCAGCGGTCCTTCACCCTGGTGTCTGGCGCGGCGCGGCCTTGGCTTCCCGCGGCATCCTCAGCTGTCTCCTCCTCCTCGCCCCTTGGCAAGGCGGGCAGGACGGCAGGTGGTGTGGTGGCGACCCGGGCGCTAGCAACGCCTGGTTCGGGCGTCGGCGGCGTGGCTCACGGCAGCAGTGGTTGCGCCTCGGCCCGTCGTGAGACGTGGGCTCGAGTTCGGGCACTCACTGCCATTAGCCGGCGTTTCTCACCCGAGCGATACCGAAGCGGCCCGCGATGTGGGGGTGATGCATTCGGGCGGCGGGGGCGGCGGTGCAGCTCGTTGTGGTGTCTCGCGGGCTGCGGCACCACGTTCAGCGGAGTCTCCCAGACACCAAAGGAACTTCCCTGGCTCTCGCCTCCCCCCTTGAATGTACTTCTCGCCTTCATCTCCTACATCGGAATGAAACTTCTGCTCGCACTGGCCTCTATCGGAATGACCGAGTTTGTGAGCTGTGACGACCTCCATTGGTTCCCGGGGTCACGTGGCCCTCCCCCGCTTCTTTTTCGGCGATTGGCAGGCGCGCATCACGTGGTTTCGCAAAGTTAGGTTGAAACTTCGACGTCTCCCGAGTTGTAGGAATTGGCATCGATGAATTGCCGGGCTGGGAGCGGCGGCGTTCGAACTTCGCGGTGAGTCAGTGGCGTCGCCCGAGACGCGACCCTGTCGTCTCCGCGCCCCCGACGCTTCCTATACACGCGCAGGTTTTGCTGTCTCGCTTACTTTGGTGCACAACAACGTTATGCTGAATAAATTATTCAAATACACATCGAAACCTGACGCGTGCGACCGCCCCATTACACTTTACATCCTTTCGTGAAGATTAGACTAGCGTACGACTTCGGCAACTTCATAAATAATAGTAGTGCCCTTTCTGAATGATACTGAACTTTCTTTGTATGCTTATTCTGTCGATCAGGTATTTTCCGAGAACATATGAATGGTTTCTAAGCATTCATAACATGTCACATGATCGTACGGTATGCATTTTTGACATTGGTTTTCGAATTCGGAATAGAATATCCATCCCCTGTTATGTTGTAGGTGAAATGGACACAGGATGTGCGGAATTGAAACAAATTTCACATATGGGTGACTTGCTCCTTAGGACATTTTGAGAACGTTACACTAACATTGCCGCAGCTACACAATTTTGGGCCCGGGGCAATGCTAAAACGTATCTTCCAGAATTCACAGAAAGTCATTTAAATGATTTAAATATACCAAGATGTTTCTAAACATTCATATCAAGGATGAACCCATTACTCTTTAATAAAAGGACACAAAGTATAAATTTTGAAATGAAAATGTCTATATTTTTAAATAAAAAAATTATAAACAAATACATATAGTTTCTTCTCTTCAATAAATATCAATTTCCTTTCTGCTGACCTGTCATAATACTAAAAACTAGACAAACAAAACAATCATTAAGTTCATTTAAGGCTTTTTCTGAAACACAATGTTTTGGGACCCCTTTTTCATTATTTTATCTACCTCTAAAAACGCTTACTTTGATTTTTCAAATGAACCATAATACTATCAAGCAATCAAATGAATCATATTTTTTCCATAATTGTACATTTTATTCTCTTATTTACAAATGTAATATTAAATATTTGCGCTGAATAAATCAAATTATGCTATACAATATGATTTGCTTGCATTAACTTCATTCAGCTGTTCTTTCAGACACTTACTGTCCTCATATACAACCCTCCATTGTTTAGTGGCTTAGAACTTGCTTTTATTGTACAAGATCAAACCATGGTATAGTATTATTAAAAAAATGTTCACATGCAGGCCACTGTCCTGACGTTTCGTAATTCTTGAGTATTATGTTGTTGTTTCTCTGGGTACAAGGTTGTTCCAGAATCCTCCCTTGATGGAAGTATTGAAGCCTCGATCATACTGCATTGGATGCTTCGTCTTTGAAGATGGTGTTAAGTCAAAGTTATAGAAGAGATGAATGAGAGCTAACTTGACTTCCATAAGAGCCAGTCGTTGCCCTGATGAACAAAAAGGATTTCGAGATTATCGAAAGCATTAATTAATTGCGTTCTAGTAACTAAATGTAAGTTTCAAAGTGATAGAATATATGAATAGGTAGCTCATTTACATTACCATCTATTATTTGGATGTAATACTAATTAGAAGGCACCTTGGGAAAATAAGGTGTAGTTTCAAGTTTACCGTAGGTAATACTAAGAGTGCTTCGGAAATTGTCGATAAATTCCCGACACGCGAAACGTGGAGGGGATTCATCTGAGAATTTCCAAAGCACGAGTGGTATTTAATAGGACTATTCCACGAATTCAATTACGTCCAACAGAGTTTCAAAATGCGCAAAATATTGAAAATAACTGAAAGCATGTGAAAATCAAAGAAGTTATAATACTTGTATAGTACATGCGAGGTTTATTGCACAACATAGCAATCGATACACACCGCCTCTTAAAAAAGATGCGTGGCAGCTTATTCTTAGCCAATAGAGAGGGATGGTAACAGAATTCGAATAGAAGAAGCGATATTTTTTTTAGATACACCGCCCTGATTGGAGCATTTTATATGTTTAGTTAATAACTATTGGTTTTAATTTCACGAGTGGAATAGTCCATTTTAAATATTTTGGGTGTTCGGGAGAAGGGTTTCTGTAATTTTCCAGTCTTTTCTGCAGGCTTGTGGTAAGATACATTAGTAGAGAGAATAATAACATGATTATAATAATAATTTTTATATTAATAAAATAATAATAATAATAAGAATAATAAGAATAAGAAGAAGAATAGTAACTCATATATGAAATAAAACTAAATCCAAGAGACAACATCAAAATGAAATTCGAGAAAACTAAATATTCCATGCATATAATGGGGTGCAGGTCAGATCCCTTAATATCGTACCTCAGGAGTCTTCAACATGGGTTCCACGGAATTGGATATAAAAAGATAGTTGATTGTACAAACACGTAAGATTGATCAAACAATTTAAAACATTATAAGGATAAAACCAAAATAGACAAAAATTAGGATTGTTTCATTTTCATCTGTAAATGAATTTATAATAATTTTGTTCACAACTGATGGTGCTTAAAACTAAATTACGCGAGACGAGTTTCTGATTATGAGAAAAATAAAGCTATTTTTGAAAAGTTTTTACTGTGGCCGTCGAAAGAAAAAAGGATACTTGGGTGATAAATTATAAATATTATTATGTGACAATCTATTTTATATATTTCTGACTTTAAATTATTTTGCAAACTTGAGAACGAACTATCTTTGATAATCCCTTTGATCAGTTGCTTAAACATAAGGCTCATTCAAGAAGAAGAGTTCGAACAATTCCTAAAGGTGTAAAAGTTGAAGACCCCTGTTGTACCTAGAATATTGTCAACATGTGGTCGTAATTTGAAGAGAAAATTAACTTCATTGATCAGTGCCTCCTAACACAAAGCGGACTCTCAAACTCATCTGAAAAGCGTTCTCGTACTCTTTTGAAGTGAAAATACAAAGAATACCTGGTTCACGCTAACGCTTGAATTCGTGAAATGGCCCAAATTAAATATTCACAGCTGTGAATGCTGTGAGAGTAGAGTTCACAAGAAACATGGTATTGAATTGCCTGGATACATTTCGTAGGATTTGGTACGATTTGTAGTTGCTCTGTTTGTTTACACTGACATTCGACTTGATAGAGTGTATACTTGTAGTATACATCGGCTTGCGAGGTTTCCACCTTCAGGTATCTCCTCCAGAGTAGCACCGCGCCTTATCGGGACAAGATGTGTGTTCCGAACTGATCTCCCGATGTGGTGGGGTAAAGCACGTAAGGGGAGAGAAGAAGAGAAGGAGGACGAGGAAGCGAAGATCGCGCGAAATCCGCGGCCCGTTTCTTCAGGCTCTCCTCCGGCATTCGCGTGCTTGTGACAGGGAGAGATGGCACAGGGCGTCAGCTCCCCCCACTGCAGTCCCTCTGTCTGGGAGGCCCTAGTGTGACGGTCCATTCGGACACGTCGCAATAAATATTAATAAACTTGACAAAATAACCTGAATTGACATGTTTTAGTAAAGAAACAAACAGTCGTAGGTGCAATGGTGGAGATGAAATGTGTTACTTATTTCTAAAAATCTAAGGAACTGTGCTGTTAGCACACCTGTGAGAAGTAAATGAGTAAACAAAGAACATTCAGGAAATATATGAACAGTCGCACGAACTCGTACTTCGTATTTTGCGATTGCATAAACATTTTAAATATAACAAGATTAGGAATTTGGAAAAGGGAAAAGTAATTAATATTAAATTATTCGGATTTTTAATTAGAAATGATTGCAACGAAGAAATTAGGGAAATATAAAGACGTTTGTAAAATGGACGATCTGATAAAAGAGAAGAGCTGTCCTTTGTTTCAAACTGCGCGGAGTGGAAGGGACAACGTATGGGACGGGTTTTGTGATTTTGGACTGGCAACATCGTCGTCGAGGTGGAGTCTTGGATACACACAGAATTTATGAAAGTTTTCTATTTAGTAAAAGTGGCGCTTTTAGTACGTGGATTTTTAATTCGGGAGTGTTTTAATTGGGAATTTGGACAAAATGAGAATATAGTAACTGGAACGAGTATGGATATGGACGCAGGCAGTGGCAGTAGTCGGGGGCCCAGTGAATCAAGGTGACGCAATTTAAAAAAAAAATTGTAACAAGGACAAGATTCATGATTAGGTTAAGAGTAAAATAAAATGGCCATTAGAATAATTTCCGTACTTAAAAGGCGTGCACGCGACTGAATGGAATGTGAATAAAATATGTATGTACGTGTGAATGATATTTGGATTTTTAGTGAGGGCAAGTTGTTTATATGTTAAAAGGGCACATATAATTCGTTGTTCGTTTTTTTGTGTACTAGAATGATGATGTTATGTACGGAGTAGAACTGGATTCGCCGAGTATCATTTCGGTAAAAATTTTGACTTATAAATAATTGCTATAATTACGAATAAGCATTAGCGGCCACCATGCCAAATTTTTATCTGTTTCTTGTATTTCACGTCGAGTTTACAAACACGAATAGATCTGACTTGCCCAAGTGTGTGGTGAAATAATTATGTTATAAATATTAATTATTTGATTCTAAGGTTTATGATCCATTACCCTAGGGTGGCAGGATTTTCGAGGCTAGCTTGTCAGCTAGGTCGAATTTAGTCGGTGTTTGGAGGAGAATTCTAGAGGCCAGCTGCTCTGATCGGTAGTTGTCGTGGTTTCTCCGATCAACACAAGGTGAATGCTGGAGCAGTACCGTAATAAATGGGCCACGGGCTATCTTTACTTCCTCTTTCTTCTCCTATCCCTACCTCGTACTTACACACACACACACACACGCGCGCGCGCGCGTACTAGCATACCCTCTACTACCACATATGCCAGGAGATCAGTCGGGAGCCTAGAGCTTGTCCCTGCTTGGGCGGTACCCAGGTGGTGGGAGACACTTGGTTGTGGAAACCTCGCTAAAATCTCACCATTTAGCGGGGGAAGATTACAGCCGCCTCCCGAGGCAAACACATGCAGTACACTTACGGGAATAATAAAGTCGGTAGTTGACGCGCCCGGAATCACTAACAACCAACCAGTCTTTCAGGCGGTGGCTGAATTCAACTTTGCTACGTAGCTAGTGTGAAAAATCCGAGATCTTTCTGAAAGAGCATACTTACCAATGCACAGTCTGGGGCCCGTCCCGAAGGGGATGTAGGTGTAGGGCCGAAAGAGATGTTTCTTCTCGTCGCTGAAGCGGTCGGGGTCAAACGTGTACGGATGAGGCCAGTACTCCGGGTCGTGGTGCATACCCAGGACGGACACGAGCACGCTGTCTCCTTTGCGCAAGGGGACTGCCGGCGACGTGGCGGTGGGCGGCAAAGTCACGTCTTCTACGCAGACGCGGTCCAGGTTGATCACGGGCGGATACAGCCGCAGGGTTTCTGGGGCACAACAGGGGCGTCAACGCACAAGCACACCGAGCACTCGTGGCGTAGCCAAGTGGGGGCGGCAAAATTTAATCATAATAACAATAACAACAACAATAATATTAATGAAAATAAAAATAAAAATAATAATAAGAATAATAATAAACGCCGTGAATATGGGATCGTCAGTCTCCTGGCTAACAAAATCTGGCCTCTTTGCTGAGACAGAGGGGTTCGTCATTTCTATTCAGGACGAAGTAACCTCCACTCGCAATTACCAAAGGTATGTAATTGGGGATATGAGTGTAGAGAACCGCAGCCACCTTTGCAATCAACCCGGCAAAACCCTCCAACACATCATGGGCAGGTGTTCTGCTTTGGCTCAAACTGAATACCTGAGTCGGCACAACGACGTTGCTGCGGTTGTCCATCAGACCCTGGCTGCAAAGTAGGAGATGATACAGAGAGAGGTCCTATACTGCAAGTTCAAGCCGGATTAAGTTTTGGAGTCGAAACGGTGGAAGCTCGCTGTGTATCGTAGAATATTAATTTAATATTATAAGGTTTTTTGAACCAAATTAATATTTCTCTGAATGCATGCAATACCCCCTCCTTCCCGCATCACACGATGTATTAGAAAGGCAGGACAAAATTAAATTATAATCCCTTATTCCCTGTAGCAAGGGAAGGGAATTATTACAATATGAGTATCTTTCATTAGCCAAACAATTATTTTTACATTTTTTCCGTCCGTTTGAGCCAATCTTAGGAACGGCTGAACTCATTAGGACTTCACTGAAAGGTAGAGAATTTTTTTTACACAATTTAGACTAATTTTTCAGCTCATGAACTTCTATAACTAGTGGTGCTAAAACAACGCGTACTTTTCTCTCATATTTTCACGCGAAAATACGCAAAAAGTATCATTGTCGAAACATTGTACATAATATTATTTCAAAATCTATCTTTAAGGAACGTATTTCATTAAGGGAAAAACATCTCTATCTTCAATATATTAGTTTTGAGAAGACACCGACATTTTTTTCGAATTTTTCGATTTTGGAAAAATTATAGTTCTTAACGAACATGAGCCCTACACCATTCTGTTAAACGTCCTTCCCACTATCCAACAACAAATCGTAATGAAAATCCATGAAGCTGTTCGTTTTTTTTTTTTAAATATCCCAGGGGCATCATGTAAAGCATCCCCAAAATTGAAATATCGGTTTCAAACTCAAGTAGCAACATTAATCAAATCGATTGGGGAATATCAATTTTAGAGAAAATCGGCTTAACGACTAATACACTAGCGTTGTGCACAGACGGTAGATGTTTTCTCATCAATCGATTTTTCGGTATCAAGGACACACAAAAAAGAGATTCTGGCTACACCACGTGGTAGAGGATTTTTTTCTAAAATTAGCAACTGGATTTATCCACTTTTTGGTTACCAGAGCCTGGCTATAAGAGTTTTTGTGTCGAAAATTCGCCGTTTTCTGGCGCACGATTACAATACTTTCTCTTTTTACGATAGTAAGTGCAACAACATTAAATGTAATGAAAGTAACGATGTTTTAAGATAGATCTCTAAGACGTATAGAACAAATTGTAATAATTTTTAAAATATAGGAGATCATGATCCAACTTAAGATCTTGTACCATTTTGATAGTCGGCTATCCGCGCAGAAGGGATGATAAACCAGCAGGAAAGAGCGGGAGTGGTCGGGCGTGGTCTGAGAAGAGATGGACCAGGCGGCGAGGCGGAGGAATATTGGGGGCGGGGATAATCTATAGAAACAATTCATTTCTTTCCCAATTGTCAGAAAATAAATACCCGGCAACATGGAATACCTCAGCTAGTTTAAGAACGTTATTTTTATTTTTAATTCCTTTGTGGATAAACAACGAAAGTATATTAAATTCATCTTACCATGAATGACGCAATCAAGGTATTTCATTCCTTGAACCGCTTCGTAGGTTGGCTTGCCTCCAGTCTGTTTCATCATTTCGTCGATCTCGTCCTGTAAGCGTCTCTGAGCCCCTTCGTTGTGAGACAGTGCGTATGCCGCGAAAGAAAGTGCGGTAGATACAGTCTCAAATCCAGCGAAAAAGAAAATCACTGCCTGACCCGAAATGTCCTCATTGGTCAGCTCTGAAAAAAAAAAGATTAATTAATTCATTAATTTTCTTAAAGCCAAAAGCAGTAAAAACTGTGACGTTCAGAAGAAAGAAAAGCTATATTTTATATTCAGATTATTCAGATAGAAAGCAAGGAGACCATCTCAGAATTTCCTCAATGGATTTGGAGAAACTGAACGCAAAACGTTATCAAGATATGGTGTTTTTGATCCAGAGGGTAATAATAATGGGTGTTACAGGCGCAATGAATATCCTAGAATTACACAATTCAACCAGTGGAGTTACACAGTGACGCAGACTTCCGCGAATTAGTTTTCTATTTCCTTTGGTCTCGGCTAGCTACTCGGACTTGCCACATACTCTTGCCAGCTGCCGTCTGTCGCCGCCCAAAATATATTTTTTGATATATTCTTAATGTTTCGGTTTCCTAAAATTGTAAAGCGGAAATATTATTTTAAGATTATTAAAGAACAGAAAAGCCTTCATAAATTTTCGAAAAACTTCATTAAAAGTCATTTTAAATATTTTAACTTACAAATATAATGGTGTTTCAAGCTGGAAACGTCGTGAGAAATCTTTAAAAAAATTACATTTCTGTAATTTTTGAAAAAACTACATTATACATAAAACAATACACATTAAAGAGTGCAATTAGCACTATCCCTTCAAAATGTTTGAAGAAAAAAACTGAAGCCGTTTTTGAGAAAATGGTGTTTGAGCGTTCCTGAAAATGTGGAGTTTGACTAATTTTCAAAGAATGCGGTTGAGTTTTCGAGAAACTTTATCTGACATTATTTAAAGACTATGCACACATAAATACAATAATGTGAATAAATTGCCGCTAATATATAATATAACGACATGAGAGACAAGTAAAATTTTGAATAAAAAAAGAACAAAAGAGTAGAGCAATAAGGTGTTTATGTCATCTTATAGTGTACATTTTACACTATCCTTACCAATAGTTTAAAGAAAAAATTTGGAGCCGTTTTGAGAAAATCTTGTTTTTGTAATTTTTAAAAATTGCTCATATTGCACGCAATATTGAGCGAAAATTAATACAATTTTCAAAAAATGTACATGACCTAAATGAAAGAACTGTCTATGGAGAACAGATTTTATTTGAAGGAGCAATCTTTATCTTTAATTTTGAAGTTGTAGGAAAACACCGAAAAAATTCATACTTTTGAAATTTTCGAAAATTCAGAGTTAACCGTGAATATTGGACCTATGCCACTTTTATAAATAAGTTACTCTATTCTTACAAGAAATTTAAAGAAAAAAATTGGAGCTGTTTTTGAAATAATTTTGAAAATGTGCGGACGGCTTCACGTAAAGTACCCCGAAATTTTGAAGAATGTTTTTAAAAATCTCAAAGCTTCGACTCGAGTCAGATGGACAGAGGTTTCTTCAATTTGAGAAAAAAATTCTATTGGTTTAGGTCCTCGATATCCATGGTTTAGGCGCTAGTAGTGTTCACAGACACCGGACAAACAGACGGACATCTTACAGAAACAATTTTTTCGGTTTCAGGGGACTCCCAACAGTGTAATTCCGTTGAAATCTCGCAATCGATTTCTCGTAGCATTACATAACTTTTCCTATAGAACGAATATTACTCCGCATATACGTCCGTATACGAGAAAATAAAACTTCACTCATCTGCTAGTAAGATTATGATTTCGCCCTATGAATAAATCAACTGAGAGATTTCTAGCAAGGGACTCAATTATTCAGGAACAAGTATAATAATGATTGTTAAAAATTAAACCTGCTAACCTACCATTCTTACTTTTCATCACATAAACAGTTTTCGATGAATTAACGAAATTAAACGATTATATATACCAATGTTTATCCCAAGATAATTTTAACATTTAATGAAACAACTCTCCTCCAAACCTCAAAATAACGTTTAGGATTTTTGGTAAAAAATTGTGGTCAAAAGACAAAATAATCCTTAAACGGACGTTTCTTTAGAGATTGACAGGAATTACGACTAAACACATCTCATGTCTATTTTAAAACAATTGCGTCTTACAATTTTTCTTGTTTTACGTTACATGACCTCATTTATTCCCATTGGCAGTATTTCAACTTTACTGCCTTAGGTCCAATGCCTTTTATTGTGAAATTATGTAAGAAACAAACACATTCTAAACAAACCATTCAAGCAAGTCATGAAATTTAAGAATGATAGATGTTTATTCAAGTGAGATTGTTAAAGCATTGTACGCTTCTGACTAAGAGTATACAATACTTGCGGCAGTTCGAATCTTAAAACCGTAATTTTGACCAATGTCCAAGATTGCCAAAGTAGTCTTTCCGATTATTTGTATCTCAAAAATAAAAGAAGTAATTTCATTATTACATCAAGTTTAGTTTTAAATTGCTCGAATGAAGTTGAAACAAGAGAGATTTTAAAAAAGACTGAAGTTAAACAAAAAACCAAAAGGAAGATTCCAATCTTCCGCGAGGAATGGAACAAGTCCTCTGGCTCTACCGAATTGGAAGTTCTCCCGGAGGTATCTTCACGTCCAGCTGAAGAAGACGCAGAGTACATGTTTTGCCGTGTAAATTTTGAGTTCAATCTATTTGCAGTTTTTTCCATTCAATTTTGTCTATTTCTTAAAACGTTTGCGGAGAAGAGGTGCCCACATTAGGAAACCTCTTTTTATAAATTCACAAAATGTAATGTTACAATTTTTTTCATAAACTACTTGGACAATAATTTTAAGTAGATTATAGCATTTGGATAACTAAATAAGGTATGCACTGTAAATATTTTGATTTAATTGTGCGAAAAATTGTTTTTGAAAATATTCGAAAACAAAATGGTAGCCCAGGTTTGGGTACTTTCCTCTAGATCTTTTGAAAAGAATAATTTTTCAGTACGAATTCCAATTTCAGAATTGTACCACGCGTCACATTAGATCACATCATGAAAACTCTCAGATTTAAGTGTGAGATAACGCACCCTGCTTCGCCGCTCCTGTTTTCTCAGTTTCGTGCTTATCTTCCTCTTCCACTTTGAGTTGTCCATCTCGAGCTTGCATCAGAAGCTGCAGCATGTCGGGTCGAAAGATGCCTTTCTTCTGCCTTTCTTGGATAGTCTCGTGCACCAATGAATCCAAAAATTTAATCGTTTCTGGATCGAACACACGCATATCCAGTGCCTATGGACATAAACATGTGATGTAAGGATACGAAAACGTAATTTAAGCGTGGCTTAGATTGACAACCAGAAGGCCTTTGACAGTGTACCACACGATTGGATTTTGAAGACATATAGAGATCTATCGATTTCATCCTAAACTTGATGAGTTTACAAGGCTAGTATGAAGTCGTGGAGTATCAACTTACTAATACACAGCGGAAAGGAAGTGGTAGAAACAAGAAGTATTCAGATTAACAGGTAAATTTTTCAAGGAGATTCGCTATTCCCTCTTCTGCTTTATATTAGTTTGATTCCACTTTCTAGACAGTTGTCGACTTTGGTTACAAGCGCAAAGGTAATGAAATACCAGTATCTCATATGTTTTACATGGATGATCTTAAAGTGTTTTCTAAGAATGAAGCGATTCACTCCCAAATGCTGTCTGTTGTCAATAATTTCATCAATGACATCTGCATGAAATTTAAGTCACTTTAAAGACGTAATGTGTCGTCAGAAATTGAAGTTGATATGCACACTGACTCAAGATCTCGAGTGAAGTTAAACTTACAAATATCTGGGTATTGAAAACTAGGAGAACATCTTGAAAGAGGAACGACAAATTGAAAGAAAGAATTTGCAGGGAGTATTACAGAAGAGTGAGTCTTGTCCTCCAGTCCGATCTGAACTCCAGGAATAAAATCTCTACAATAGGTAGTTTGGCGGTACCTGTAGCCGAGTATAGTTTCGGATTAATGTTCTAGACTGAGAAAAGAATAAATTCATAGATCGCAAAAACAGAAAACTTCTTGCATCATGTAACCCCCTTAGAATTTGTGACGCATAAGGAAGGAGGAACAGGTCTAAGACAAATTAAATCTACCTCGCTTATTTCGGACGTAGAAGTGACACATTTCAATGCACGAGTGATATTACCTATAATAAAACTTATAGATTTACTCACCTTCATAATCTTGGGAATAATCAAGTAAAAAAAGAAGATAACCATGCGCTTTACACTAAAACTTGACAAAGTTTTGCCTCGCTGGTAGAACTCATTTTCAGGCTCCTTAAGGGAATCACATCCGATTCCAAATGCTACTGTCCCAATGACATCGTTTGCCACTCGACTAAAAAGATTCTTCATGTCTGTCTCCAACGGCTTTGACTTAATACCTGAAAACCATTCAGAAAATTTTATTGCAAATTCTATCTTCATTAGATACATACATAAACATTTTTTTTATACGAAAGCTTTTTGTATGTACATTTGTAAATTTTGTTTTGAATTGATTCAGAGTTCCTCAGTCCAAAATTTTCTTCTATAAACTAACGAAGCAAGCTTGTCTATATCCCTACTGAAAAATAAAGAAATGATTATTCGGTCGAATAAATCATGCATCTGAGCAGACCCAGCGGATAATGAGGGTAGCTATACCAACATGAAAAATTCTGAGTGGGTAAAATACGGATGAGAGAAATATTTTATAAAAAATTCAAATTCAAATTCCATCAAATCAATCAATCAATTCAATCAAATTCCAAAAATTAACGAAATTTCTGTTTGGCGTCGAATTAAAATATGAGATCGACTATGTTGCAAGAACCGCCCAACATATTGCCATTGCCTCGATATGCAAAAATAGATAATTGTACTTACCTTCTTTCTTATCTAAAATCGGACAAACTTGTGACGATATATTTACTACTATCCTTAATTAAAATATTTTACTTTTTCAGTTGGTTGCTTGTGGCATATTCGATATGAAGTTCAAACTTGGCAATAGTAAATATGCGTGAACTCTGAATATGTGCATGTTACCAATCACTTATTGTAAGTAAGGTAAAAAAAAAATATCGTCAACGTATGCCATCTCCATTTCAGAAATGATAACATGGTTTGGGAAAAACGGCAGTAGTAAATGTAGCTTCACTATGCGCACGTTTTGTTGAACTCTCCTTTGGCTTGTAATGGTAGGAATAGAGGTAAGGGCGAGTTACTACTTTGTTAGCAATGCAGAAAAATCATACTTGCAATTCGTTTACCGATGCAAATAAGTTTTTTATTAGTCGGGAACAGAAATGTCTATTTTTTCAAGTATTACTAATTTTGCGTTTTTTAAAATTTATTTTTATTTATTTATTTTAAACTTTTACTCATCTTCCAACTATTTATAGTTAAAATAATGGGAAGGGATTTTGGAACTCAAGAAAACGTGCTTAGATGATCTTCTCCCCCATATGTCACATACAGTTTTTACTTCTTTTTTTGACTGGATAAATCTCAATGTAATCGAGCCATGGAACACGCGCCAACCTTTTTTTCTCTTTCTTGTCCTATCCTCGTCTTTAGTCACACACCCTTACACCTAAATGCAGTACACTACCACAAATGCCGAGACGAAGGGAGTAACACGGCCACTTCCCACGATAAAACATTCACTACACTTACGGGGATGATGACGCGCGCGGAAACATCACTCAGCCAATCGAATAATTCAAGTCTGTTTGATGTCGTTCAGCTGGTCTGGCAGGTCAGCCGTGGGCCACAACATCTCTACGGCCGAGGCAAAAGCCCATTATTAACAGTAAGATTTTGTTCTTCTCGTTGGTTTTAAAGTTAGACTCAGGTATGTTTCTGAAACACACTTCTATTATCACAGAACGGGCGCGGATTCACGGGGAGATAAATGAGGGAAATTCCTCCCCTAAATATTTTTTGTGACTATTAATTTTAACTTGTCATAAGATTTTCAAGCAAAATTATTTGCGGATACTCATTAAAACGAATAAAATCGCAGCATGAGCTGAGTGGAGCCTGCCACATTTTACAAAATCTGTAATATGATATATTCAACCAAAACATTTTTAATCTCCCATCCTAAAATTTGACCTAGATGGCAAGCTATGGTCGAAAATCCTTCTTCTATCGGAAGTGGAACCTAGGACCTCCCGGTCAGAGGCACTGCAGCGAGCTCAATTGATACCCTGAGTCACCTCTCCCGGTTTTATTTAATAAAAAACGTGGTAAAAAATTCCATTATGAGAAAATATTTTTATCTATTGTACATGAATAGAAAACAGTTTTCAAAAGCGTTGTTTCAGTGTTATTATGAGTGACATCATCAACTTGCAAAACTTTCATAAGCATAACTTCAATAGAATCTAAGATTTAGACTAAAACATTCAACATTGGGGAATAAAATTGATATGAAAATACATTATTTTGGCGTCCCACTGTCAACATATAAATTCAAACTCCATAGTTTAAACTTAAATGGCTTTTTAATACTTTTACTGTGAAAATTTGCTAGTACTAAGTATTATGTAATAACTTTCTTGTTTTTGTGTCTTATTGTTTTACTTTTATTAGTCTTATTTCTCATTTGGGTTTTACTGTTAACTGTTAATTTCTCATTTGTCTTTCTCAAGTGTCTGTCTCACGTGTCTTACAGTTAATTGTTAATTTCTCACACGTCTTCCTGATATCAAATTGTTGTATGTATTTTAAGGATAGCCACAAAGCACACGGCCAGGAGGTGGCCCTGCGTACCGTTGGCGCTCTTGGCCTGCTCCTGGCGGAGGTGCGTCGCCATCTGCTCCGCCGTCTTGGCCGCCAGCGGGAAGATGCCCTTGATCTTGCTGGTGGTGAAGGCCGGGCTCAGCGTGGCCCTCATCGCCCGCCAGCGCTCGCCTGCGAAACAAGATCGCGAACCTCACAAATTTAAATTTCACTTTCAAGGGACCGCTCATCAGACGATTGGGTAATATCAATATTGGAAAAAATCGGCTGAACGGTTAGCGTTCATTGACAGTTTGATCATCAGACACATTGACGTTCAGTCATGTCATTGTCATTGACAGACGCACAGACTTTTTGCCGTCAATGGATTTTTCGGTATCCAGAACCCACAAAACATGGATTCTACACGACGGGTTGGAGGATTGTTTCTAAATTTAGCAACGCGATTTATCCACGAATTCGTTACGAGGGCTCGGCCACAACGGTTTTCTGCCCGTATTTTAGCGCGCAGCATTCTATAATTTTCTCTCTACTGTGTAAGCACTAGCGAGAAAGTGGTAAAAGTTAAAGAAATGACAATTTAAGACTCTTAAAAGATGCTTTGAAACTGAAAATAAAGTAAAAAATTTTTTAAAAATTTGAACAAAAAAGACGTTGATTCAATTCGTTATTATCAGTCGACAGGTGGTCTTCTTACGAGTTCCTGAAGTTAAAGCTTCCAGTGCAAGGTACGTTGCCTGCCAATCAGGGGCAAATCTATCATGTGAAACTTCGAATAAAGACATTTCCCACCACACGTTTAATGACATGTCAAAACGTGGACCCTCTAGATGACATGTAAGTTTGTATTATTTATTCCGAATCATCCGTTTTTATTGTGTCGTAAAATATTCGAATAGCATGATGTAGGAGAGTCTCTTCGCTAATTAAAGGTGCTCAGTATTGATTGTTGTATTCCCAGAGCATTATAAAAGTCGAAACACAAATTGATACTTTTTTAATGAGTTGAAATACAGTGTGGCGCACGAAATGAGTCGCCATTTGTTTCTTACATAATTTATTAATCACACTAGACATCCCGTTGATGCCTCAACAGCAGTAGCAGTACAGCTCGGAGAAACAAATGAGTTACGATATAACGCGTAATTCATAATACCACAGCTAGGAGACTAGTATGTGTAACAATGGCGGACAAAGGAGGTCTGAGTTTTCTGAATAATCATGGAGTTAATCACAATGCCTAGCTCTTTCGTGACACCGTAGTTTTTTTGTACTAGGATGATACTGTAGGGCTTTGGACATAATTCTTATGCAAAATTAAAATTCGTGTTCTCGGGTTTGATTGCACTTTAAATATCTAGCTTTCACATTACATGAATACGGCATTTCATCCATTAAAACATTTGCTTCCCAATATATATTACTTAACGTAATTAATTTTTTAATAGTCTACATGCAGACAAAAACAGAGGGCCAGGAAAATCTCTCCGCACTGGGCCGAGTCAGGGTCTCCTATTAAAATGGTAATGATGTTGGCAGGAAAGAGATCTCTGGGAAACAACTTCCAGCATCTGTTATGATTATAGTGAGTGTGATATTTGCATTTTCTTTTGTTACATGCTGCTGGTGTTGGATTTGTATCAATATATATATATATATATATATATATATATATATATATATATATATATAAAATTTTCGTTGCAATCACAAAGGAGCCACTGTGGAGAGACTTTTTTGGCACGCTGTACAACCAAACTAGTTCCCAAAAGCTCGAAATACGACTTTACCTCACCTTTCAAAAGGAAGAGATTCTTGTTGAAGATGGGGTCAGGCTCCCCCTTCACGATTTCCCGATGGTCTGTGAAGTGGTCGAAGTCCTTGACGGCAATGTGCTTTAGTAGCTCTGGATCAGTGACCAAGTAAAACGGGTTCTGGTTTTGGAACCATCCGTATATTGCATGGCCCTTTGAGATATCGTGCATCTCCTGGAGCATGTCAGGAAAAGTTGTTATTCCTGAAAAAAAAGTGGTGAAACATTTAACTTTAGCTGCAATGACGAAATTGATTATACACAAGATATTTTTAATATAAATAAAACAATATTACAGTTTACTAAATCAATTATTAACTTTAAACATCACGCTATTGAAATACATACCGGGTTCACAACTTCACGTTTTTACTCATGTGAAATGAATCAAAATATTCGCCTAAGATATTAACACGGGTCATTTACTGCTACACAAAATTGATCCTATCCCATCTTGCTTTAAGTAAGATGTGTATTTGTGATTTTATGTAAGTAAAGGGAGTGTGCGTATGTGTGGCACATAGACACAAAAACTACTCATTCGATTTCGATGAAATTTTTACACCGTTATTATTAGTAAGGAGTGCGATTAAAAATTGGTTTGAATGAAATCGGACATTTGGGGGCTTTGTTGATAATAATTCATTCGTTTATGACGACCCAAGCGCCCGCAAATTCTACGCAACCCGCCACACAGTCAAGCATTAAACGCATTTCACTGCATACAAGCATTCTGCCCCTGCGATTGTGAAATATCGGTCAGAATTGTTACTTGCATCTTGGACAAGTAAATTAAGTTACTCAAGGCAGTGTCATAGACAGCGCATCCCCAAATTTGAGGGAGAACAATTCTACACTTGCGAAGTCTTTTATTTATTAAAATTTTTTCTCAGTGCATCGTAAAATGTGATTAACAATCACGTGATCAGTAGTGTGTGATGTGCAATACACTGCAATAGCGAAACATTGCTGGTTCCACTAGTATATTAAATAAAATATAGAGAAAATATTTCTATATCAAAGATGATTCGAAAACAAGCCTGGCCATAACAGCAAAACCCCACCCACGACGCGAGATGAAATAAGTGTACAGTTGGCATATGACCCTCACCAAAGTGTACCCACGCTTACAAAGATTATTGCATTGACTATCGGCAAAGTAACGAAACTAAGAATTATAGAAACGCTTTCTAGACAAATCTACGCTTTTGAGTGCAAGACGGTAAATGAGGAACACATTAGTGTTTTTTCACCTGAAGTGACTCATCTATATTTAATGAAAAATAACTGGGTTTCGAAGTCACTTCTGGAACGGTTGATAGCTGTTTCGGTTTGAGGTCTTGCACCGCTACTTCCCCCGGAGCCAGAGACGGATCCAGAGACAAGTTTTGGGAGGGGCCATCGATCATTTTTTGTTCCAATGTGTCGTATTTTGTAAAATGTCGTAGGCTACACTCAGATCATGCTGCGATTAGATTTTATTTCTTTTAATGATTATCCGACAATATTTTTGCTTGAAAGTTTCGTTAAAAGTTAAGACTAGAACGTCATTTTGACGGCTACAACATATTCTAATTATGTAAACTAGACATATTTACAACATATTCTAGTTATTAAAATGAACATTGTGATTACTTGACTTTAAATGAATTCATAATTTAATAAGTATATGTGAAAATTTTTAAAATATTAATCCACTCGAAATTACTTATATAGTTTGGTTTATCTTAAACGCCCGTCAGTCATCAAATTGACTACTTCCTAGTGCACCAAACAACTCACGGGTAATAGACAGAATTCTCGTCATTATTTTGTTGTCAATTGCATATATTCTTCTAATTACTGTAATAAATCAATCAAAATATTAACTGAAGTGCGAATTTTTATTTGTATGCATAAATTACCCCAAATCCAGAAATAGTCCATTTACTATGACAGGATTTGTTTAACCGAGTACTTGGCGTAAACCAGTTGTTCACGGTTTCATCCAATCGGGAGCATGAATGCCCCAATAGTGACGTCCCTTAAAATTCGACTTAAAATTTCGAAATTGGATGAAAACGCAACAACAAAGCGCACAACTAAATAAATTTAACTATACACGAACCATCAAAATGACAGGACATAGTGTTTAAATGAATAGTCCCCGAAGAATTTTAGGAGGGGAAGTTTCGATCCAAGGATCCGCTCGGGCGCGGCGCGTTGTCCCGACGGGAAGGGGCAACCTTGGGGCCGGAAATAGCCCGCTTGCTTACCCAGGAAGCCGCTGATGGTGTTGCCGACGAACGGCAGCCGGGGCCGAGAGTACGCCACGCCGCGTCGCGCGAAGAAGTCGTAGTTCCACGTGCCGGCCACCCACAGCAGCACCAGCGCCACGGCGCCCAGCAGCGCCCAGTCGAACACCGTCGCCTGCGCGGCGACTGAGCGCACCAACTCCCACATCCTGCAACGACGCGCATTTCTTATTTATTTTTTCCGCTCCATTTGATGTATGCAACCAGGTGCATAATCATACTCAATACGATAGAGATTTCAATATGATGCAGGTTCTTGACCAATCACAGAGAAGTTTACAAACCAAGACGCGACCCTATAGTAGACAGTTTCTATCTGCACCGCAGTAAATTTTACAGGAGAGCATTTCAAAGTTTTGGCCCTCTCTAAAACAAAATCTATTTTATTAAATGTATTAAAATTTTGTCAGTGTACTTGACATCCAAGCACAATAACGTAGACTGATAATTATTCTAAAAGCATTGGAACTTTCGTAGAAACCAAGATCCTATTTTTACAGATAGAACCTAGCCACTTTCCTCTGTGACGCTGCCGAAATTACTCAAAAACAAGAAACACTTTAATATAATAAGAAAAAGATCTAATCTCAACACTCGCACTTAATAACAAAATATTTACACCATTCTCATTCATATCGAGCACATCATAGTTTTGATGGCCATACACGTTGTTTCAAGGTTTACTGAATTTATTACAATACGTAGCCTTCTTATAAATGTATTCCGTACACACGGATAATGCCTGCAGAATGTTCACTACCCTGAAGACGATTGCGTTACCGTCGGCTCGCGAATCCGTTCCATCCACCATTTCTCCAGAAAGTTCCATCAGCTGGGCTCACCGTTTCCATATTTCCACGCATCCTTTTAACGCAACCTACTAAATGCCGTACTTCTGGCTCTCAACTATCTAATTATTACGGTCATCAGATTTTTGTTTTGGGATACAACCGCACATGAAGTTTTATCATACGCGAGTTTTGAATTATTTTTTCCAAAATTTGAGAAACGTCACTTGCAATGTCATTTGCATAGCGGCATATGTCCATTTCTGTCCAAATTGCATAATACACATCTTTAGTGGGGAAAACATGAACTGCCATATTGAATAAATTTAGTTTGGTCTGCTACCACCACGGAATTTCATTTTTCCTGTAGAAAAAATACTTGCTCTCTGAATTCCTATCTTTTTTTCTAAATCAAAAGACGCTACAATTGCAAGTTTATTTTGATCTTAAAATCTTCCTCTCTTTCTTTTTTTTCGTTTTCCATGTTCTCTACATGTTCAGTGTACTTTAATTTCTAATCATTAGAAATATTAAATTATATATTTCCCAACTCATTAATTCTGTATTCTTCACACAGATCACATGTGACCGCTTTTGGCTGTAATAAATCCAAATTAAATTCCTTATTTCCGATACCCAGAGAGTTTTAAAAATTGACAATTTTCATTATTTTTAACGCAACAATTCTTATAGGTTGTACATCTAGATAATGAATCCTTCGTGAGGCCTCTCATTTCAAGGAATGTGTTCAGTATCGCTGGGTCGAGTCCCTTTGTTGCTTTTTGAACACTAAGTATCTATTGGAGATAATTTGCGATGAATTTTCTCTGAGAAAGTATTAGAAGGGAATTCAATGATACATGAAAATCAGTATGTATTGCATATTTTAAGGATGATTTAATTAACTTAACAAGAAAACGCAATTTCACGTCAACAAGAAAATAGACTTTCACCCAATTCAATCCTAAACAAGAAATTATAATAATGTTTCTGATTTATTCACTATTAATAGTAACGTTGTTTACATTAAGGCGTAAACATTTTTTTTACACGTTTGCTTAAATTTAAGGAAATGTGTTTTTGCAAACTTTCTTTTTTAGAGGGCCGGCACTTATTTTCCTTTATACTTTGAGGTTTAGAAGGAATGTTACTCTTTTAAGCATTTATTGAATTTCTTATGAAAAACAAGTAATGTTAGATTTTTGCGACTGCTGGAGTAACACGTTTCGAGTAAAGTTCTTCGTCTAGTTACTCCCGTCGATTGCTAAATAAATTGCTCGCCTTTTCCTAAATAAATTACTTTATCATTTGTCGCAGCAATATTTTGAGGACAAGTGAAAATCACCATCGGCAGTATGTTTATCATGTTTATATACGTGTGAAAAAGTAAGTGTCCTCCATGATATTGTTGTAAATCCTCTTTGCCAATTTCATGGTCCACATCTAAATACACAGAATTTTCTTCGAAATATTCATTTCGAACAACGTATTTTAAAAAAGTTCTCGTATCTTTCCTACATCATCTGAAATGCACAACTTAAAACGTTTACTTGTTAACAGTTTAGTAAGGGGAATACTGTGTTATTCTAACTCACGCAAACACAGGAAGTACGCACGAATACTAAAGCCCAAGTCAAACACACGGATCTAATTATTTCTAAGAATTGCATGTGTAGGCAAGGGTAAAGGATATGTGTGACATATCGCCCTCCAACTTATCTGTTAATAACCGTGCCTCCGGATGCAAAATCGTTCAACACAGGATGTCACCAGACTGTGAAAAATCACACCTACAACACAGCGAGATACTGAGTTCTTAAAACGGATTGGATGTACTACATCCGTGCGCGCCAAACGAAGAGTTAACAACACACTTATTTACCGAATAGAAGTAAAAGCATAATAATCCGGGTTGTAAATATGATTTATAGGCAAACAATTTTATAACATTACATCAACATGTGATGCGGGGTGCAACTTATAATTCTGGAGAGTTGGTGAGACATTCATTCAGATATCGAAAGAACTTCCAATGCCAATTTTAGCGAACTATATAAATTCTGTCTCGTTGGTAATTAGACCTGATAAAGAATAAATAGTTCGATATTTTTAAAAGTATGTTTACTCGCACCTTCGCACCGTATTATGCTTTGATTTAACACGCTTACTTGGCGTCGTCGTCTTCAGTCCCGCTTGCCGCACTTGGTTCGTATTCAGAACTAGAATGCTCAAAAACAGCGTCAATTTCTCTTTCACTCAACATTGCAATTAAATCTTCCCCTCAAAAGATCTCATAATACCTGGAGACTTTACGCGGAAATTGTGCAACGCCAACAAGAAAGTGTCCTCATACATTTAAACAGATTGGTTTTGCGCGGTGAAGCAGATATAACCTTTTTTCACGAACTTGAACATGCATTATGCAGATAGTACCATTTTACCATTGTATTTCAGAAACTAAGCTTTGTTCATCAATGTAACTTAGAGGCTATATAAATCTCCTCGCTACCATTACGAACATCACATACTATCACTTTTGAAAAAAAATTGTTTGAACCTTTTTACTTTAAAGTAACGAAGTATTGACTATTAATCATTGAGAATCATTCTAGGAAATGTTTCGTTCGATAGTGTACATTAAAATTGAATTTAATATTATATTACGTTTGTCATATTTAATGTATTTATTAGTAGTAATTTTTTCGTCGAAAATTATTTAAAATAAATTAGATCATAATTTCACTATGATCCTATTTGACTAGCGCAATGGAGGTTGAGGGAATATTTGACTTACTTTAAGATCAGACCGCAAAAAATGTTGTGTTGTATATTGCTACCTGTGGTTACCCTTAAAAACCTGCCATTTTTTAGTTTAAAATGTCTAATGAATCAGAGATTGAGTTTGTACCTCCAGAAATAAGAGAAAAAGCGAAAGTGGTGTCCTCGGAATTATTGCCTCCACTTTTGTACTCTCTTGCAGGCGAACTGGTAAACCAAAGCCACCTGTGATAGGGTAGGGTAGCTGACCCTAGATGACAACTGCCGCGATACGATTCAGTGTAAAAGTTTAACTTATAAAAGTTATCATAAGTCGTACTATAAGCACCGTATGGAACTTATATTAATACACTCGTGTGTAGCTATCCATATTACTCGCGCAACTTTTCTTGAACGATGACCTTGCTTCCCCCTCTCTGGCACAATAAACAGATGAAGGCAAAAGCTCACAGCGAGCACTGATGACAACATTCCAAACACATCATCACTGGCACGAAATAGAAACAATTTTCTTTTGAAGACGAGAACTTCTATCGGTTATTTTCTCCAAAAATTTAAAGAAATGACTGAATAAGGTAAAGATCTATCACAGGAGATACCTCGAACTCCTGATAAAGTTAGAACGCAAATTATTGAGAACGTTACGAAGGCATGACTGATTCTCCAGAGATTGGAATTGCTTCATAAAATCTAGAGGCTGATTTCTTAACTAATACCCCCACTCTACCCGCATTTCTTCAATCCATCGTTCAAGAAAAGTTGCGCGAGTAATACCTATCATTATATCATCGTTTATTGATGTACTACTGTAGAATTGTTCGTTCTTTTCAGAGGCATATCCAGGGAGTGGTCCGGGGCAGGCTCCGCGGTAATGTAGCATTGTATGCGCCACTGTAATGTACCATTGTAGCATTGAAAACTGTTATAAAAATATTTTAGATTGTTTTAGTGTAATTGTAAAATAAGAAAAACATTCGTGCTAGAACAAAATGTTTCAAAACAAAGTTTACGTTTGAGAAGAACCGTAAGTTGAGAGCAACAGTTTAACTTAGTTAACCTAAGTCGCCGCAAAATATTTAGTGAACACGGTAGGTAAAGAAAATGAAGAAACATACTGTACCTCAGGTAATACTTGCGAAATAACTTCAATCCTCGTTCCTACATCTAGCAAACGCGACTGAAATGTTTTCTTCACAACTCAATATCTGAAAGACGCCTTCTTAAGTACAGGTACAACATGCAATTTTGTTGATACACATGGCGAGCAGGAAATGGTTTATCTTATCAGAGAGTCGAGAACTCCTAAATAGTAGATAGCAAATCAATAAAACAAACGCTCTCAACATTATCTATCTGTTTAGGATCTGTCTTATGATTGTTTTCACGCAAGGAAATGAGATATGCAAAAGGGGAAACTTCACCGAGTTCTCCACTGAGCCCTTAAAGTTCAATTGCTTCCTGTGCAAATCAGATATCCTTTTCGGGAGGTTCGGGTCCCCTACTCGTCAATGGACATGATTTTCAAAATCTCTATGAATGTTACGTTCAAAAACTATCCATATGAAAGTCCAGGTATTCAGAACAACAAACGTCTATATATACTTATTCACTTCTTTCTAACAACAAAAATTAATATCTTCAATTTTGTAGTATCTTTTGATTTTGTAGACAATCAAAACATGAAACACCAGTAACGATATTTTCGTAATCTGTCGGAAAAGTTAAATAACACAGTATTTCGAATACAAAAAAATATGGATTTCTAAGAACTTGCATAATAATAATAATAATAATAATAATAATAATAATAATAATAATAACAACAATAAAAGGGAGAACTTTAGAAAAGGGAAAGTTTAGGAGGGGAATAGTATTGCTCATTATTATTTTCAAGATATAACTATATAATAGTGAATATGATAATAATGTCATTCGAATTTAATAATTAAATGGTAAACAAGGTACATGATTTGCGAAATAATACTTGGATTAGGAATGAGATAGTTTTCATTCTCATGACAAAATTATTTACGAGGGTTAGAGAGTAACACTATGCGGTGGATTATTAGGGATGTATACTATATAAACAGACTAATCAATCATTAATCGGGGAACTGGCTACGAATTAAGCAGAATTACAGACTACCGGTATTTAGTTATATTCTCCTGATAGTAACCCTTGGATAATAATGGCGAAGTATGTGATATCTACCCGAAGACTGAAGGTAGAAGATGTTGAACATTTCCTATGACCCGGATTCATCCGAGATCTCAAGCGCGCGATCAAGACGATTTCATTTAAATTGCATAAAAAACAATCATATCACAGTTAATACATATTCATATAAAAGGAGCTCATAAATGAATATGCTATCAAATTGATAAAAGAATAAACACTTTAATTGTTTAATTTTAAGATTTGCTTCAAATTTTTTTTAAATTTATTCCTCCGATAAAGCAAAAGACGATTAAAGAAATTGCTAACGAAGCATTTAGTTGAACTATCTGAATTTTCGAAAATTGCAAATTTTGAATTTTTTGACATCTTCCCTTCCACTAGAAAATTGAATTTAAATATTAAAAAAAAATTAAATCTGGGTATCGGAAACATATCTTAAAGTAAGATCATGTACAATTTTTCGAAAATATGAGTAATTTTATGTGAAACATTGGCAAATTTTAAACAATTTTTTTTCAAAAACAGCTCTTTTTCTTGAATGTTTTCGTCGTATGTAGCAGAGAACAGTAAAGAAATGGCTGCTGGTCTCATTTCCGGCAAACACATTGTATTTTTAAACATTGTAAACAACAACAAAAATGAAATTGTCAAAGTACAATCTTGATTATAGAATTTTTTTGTTAAGTAAAATAGGTTCTAAAATTTCAATTGTCTAAAAAAATCTACGAACATTTTAAAAATGTATTAGTTTTGCCTAATTTTGCAAATTTTATATTTCAGATTCGAATGTACGTACAATTTATGATTAATAAAACACTGTAGGCTTTCACGGCCGGCGTTATATTCTAAGTTCTCTTCCGGGCTGAAGGGCCGTGGTCTATTGGAAGACATATTTCCAGACGTTTCGTCTGCAGCTGCGGCAGACATCTTCAGTGGCGGTGCAGTCTTGGGCGAAGAACTCTCCTCGGTGGTTCACCGCTGACTAATGAACCACCGAGGAGAGTTCTTCGCCCAAGACCGCACCGCCACTGAAGATGTCTGCCGCAGCTGCAGACGAAACGTCTGGAAATATGTCTTCCAATAGACCACGGCCCTTCAGTCCGGAAGAGAACTTAGAATTTATGATTAGTAAGTACCCAGGTCCGATTGTTTCTCAATAGCAGTTTTGGGGCTGAATGTCATCTCGTAGGATTGGAATGATTCATAGGATCGAAGGGCATTTTAATTCCGCTCAGTACATCCACATACTGAAAGATATCATAAATCTATTTGAACTGCAAATGGGCATAACCCGGTGGTAATTACATAAATAAGATAATACAGCTAACATGCAAATTATATAATAATAATATTAATAATAAATAATAATAATCATAGAAACAATAAAAACATCTAATAAAACAACGATAATATTAATAATCATAATCATAATAAAAATAATTATATAAAAACTGCCCACATCATAAAATATTAAATTACCTTAAAAAAGAAACATCTATAATCTATATCCGCGCAGTATTTTATTCAGTTAAGATCACACTGCACTTCAATTCACTTCACTTCACTCCACTTCACTTCACTCCACTTCACTCCACTTCACTTCACTTCACTTCACTTCACTCCACTTCACTTCACTCCACTTCACTTCACTCCACTTCACTACGACCCTTTAATCACTTCCTTCATTTTTCTTTGTTCTACACTGCACGACACCTCACTTCACAATATATTACTCAAGCATCACTCTAAGCCCCTCACTTACTTAGTAAACCCTAAATTAATTTCCTAAACTATTGAACGCTACGAGGAAAAGGTTCAAATGTTTTTGTTGGCAATCTATTCAATTCCACTATCGTTTGATTTGTGAAAGAAAATTTCTCGACATCCGTCCTCTGCGATCTTAAATTTATTTTGTGCCTGTGATCCCACCTACTGATGTATGTACTTAACCGCCGATTAATTTCTTTCCAATCTTGATTACCACTATAAGCTTTATAAAAAGCGCAGTCTTGCTACTGACCGTATGTTTTCGAGTGAATCCCATCCTGCCATCTTCTTGTCCCTGAAAGTAAATTTAGCTGCCTTACGCTGAATCGTTTCCAAATTTATACGCTGCATACGTTTGTGCAGATCCCAATAAATAGTTCCATATTCCATTATCGGACGAACAAGCAATAAATAAGCAATTTCCTTCGCGTTTGCTGTACTCTGTTTTAAGATGCGCATTACAAAGTGAAGAGAACTCCAGGTATTCCCTACAACAAAATCTACGCGTCTTTTCCAGCATAATTTACTATCGAAATGGATTCCTAGGTACTTGCATGAGGAAACTCGCAGAATAATGTCAGTATTTAAATGGTAATTTGTTTCTCTGTAATTAAGACCCCTATCAAAAGTTATTATTTTTATTTTCACAGCTAGGTACATGGTTTAGGAGTCACACTAATATTTCTATCAAAGCATGATTTCCGTAGTGCAATACATTTAACAAACATACATTATATTTAGAACTAATTAGAAGGTAAACAATTCTACAAATATAAATTTAAACACTTAAATTAATTTATAAGTTTAACAGGGAATAATTTTAACCCATAAATCTTCTGACTGAAGAACACGTGATCAGAATCACAGCTTTCTGTAGAGTGATAATGTTTGTCTCGATCACCAGTTTATTCAGAGTGCTTCAGGACGATAGGTATCACACCTGTTGCTGGATAACGATCGGCACAATCTCCATGCCCAATACATGCCACTGCTCCTTTGCAACTTCTGTTAGTTCTCTGTACTTTTGAATATTATTTTTCTGTGTTGCGTCGGAGTTACTGGTATCTACAACTGGTTCGTCTATCAGCCATACTTTCCTTTTAGATGTATGGAATCTTTTAGATGTATGGAGTATCGCATCCGGCCTATTATGATGGACTGTTCTGTCGGTCAATACGCTTCGGTCCCACTATAGGTGTTGTTCTCGATGACATCTTAAGGATGGTGTTTGTAAGAGGGTTATTATTATTATTATTATTATTATTATTATTATCATTATCATCATCATCATTATTATTATTATTATNNTATTATTATTATTATTATCATTATCATTATTATTATTATTATTATTATTATTATTATTATTATTATTGGGTGTTCATTTATCTAAGAAGTTGGATTTGCATCATTGAAGGTCTCAATGCGTTCAGAAGAATACTTACGTTATCTGAGGTTGCTTGACGATGTTATGTACGACATTTGCCACCGAATTGTGTGCGAAAAAAATATTCAGATTGTTTCGTTTCGCAGCACAAATGAGAATGACCAACCGATGCAGACAATGCTACAGAGTTCTCTCTGAATTCATCAAATGGCAATGCTACTGAAGTAAATGCAAAATTATTGTTCTAACACACTAACACACTAACGCAACTTTTCCACCTTTGGTGAAAAATGTGATATTGATTTCAATAGGGGTCCGTTGCAGTTGTACGTCGTTGTGAAAATGATTTTTAAACAAAACGCGTTTGTTCACTCCAGTGGGCTTCATAATAATGTGTTAATATCAGAATGCAATCTTTACATTATCTGAATTTGCTGCAAAGTCCGATCTTTCAAATCCAGCAATCAGATATACTCGTGCCACTGTTTTGGCGTCGTATTATATCAAAATGAAAATGTATCTTTCTATAGAACTCTAGCGGCTAAGCATTGACCAAGCTGATACTAAGAATGATGAGTATTGTGAAAGCCAACAGTTAGGATTTGCTGATCTTCATATTTGATGAAAACTGTCACATGACATATTGAAATCAAAATAAATAATTAATACTCATGTAAAAATATTTAATGGAAACAAGTTTGTTTTCACGGAAAAATTCGTTTTCACCAAAAATAGAAGAAAATATTTAAATTAAATTTAATAATAATACTTTTCCAAATTTTTATCTCAACTTTCTTCATAATGGCTAGATATTCATGAATTATCTTACACTATTATTTTTACTTTCACTTGGCCATTAATCAGAAACATTTAGCAGCAGAATGATTAAAACAAAAGAGATGACATTTTCTTGATTTTCCCAAAACAGACTAGAATAGAAAAGTCTCATTTTGAAACTACCCCGCCCCCCAATTAAGTGTCATCTGCCACTCAATTTTTACATCTGCCATTCAATTTTTACTAATGTTAATTGTTACACGTGAGTTGCGGACGTTTATGTTTAGTTTTTAAATAAAAATAATTTATTTCGTAATGTTTTGGTGTTATCGGTCCTGCTCATGGCGGCTGAAATCTTTAACAAATCTCCAAAAACCAATGAGCGGTCCAAACACCGCTGCGCTAGCTGAATCGTTATAAGAATGCGCGAGCGGTGCAGGGTTAACATCTATTATTGTTATCTCCACACTACATAGGGCATATTTTTAATTTCAAATGCAAGCGATCAATTTTCTAATTTCTTCAGAATTGAATATTTGCCTCCTTCGCGAAAGCTAAGTTTGATTTTTTATTCGTATCAAGACAAAGGTAGAATGTTGTAATTTAGTGAATTTTGTGGCACTTTAAAATGGATAAAAATACCTACGCAGACAGGGAATTGAACTGGCTGCTCCTCACATTCGGGAACATTTCTTTGACACTGAGACATTCATTCGCTGTTCTAATACTCCTCTTATAACAACACATCTTATATTATCGAAACTTGAAAGCAACATTACGTTTACAAACATTAATGTCATTTCAGTTCATGGGAAGGAATCACGGAAGTCTTTTTTCCTCTGTACCACTACTGTTTAGCTCTCAATGGACGTTTAAGTTTTTTATACGCTCTCCAATAAAATAAATTTAATCTTCATAGTTCGATCTAGAAAACGTAGTTTTGATAGCACTGTCGGCACACATGGATGTCGAGCGCCATCAACCTCTCGATCCAAAGCATTTTCGTCGTGAAACTTAATGTTTTAATGAGTGTACATATTTTCATACTATTTATTTTCCGGTCTCTAGTTATCAGGTTAGAATACCACAATGGGAACGCCATGAGACGGCAGTTTGAAATTCTCTGAATAAGTTCTCATTGTTGGACAGAGTTTCCAGGTGAATGGAACGGTGTTTTGAATTGTCGAATTAGTTTTCATGTATTAGCTTTAGTTTTCGCGCCTAATGCGCTACGATTGGAAATGAATTTTACAAGTAAGTACTTTTACAAGTAAGATGAGTTAATACGTATAGAAATTGGGGTATTATAATTTTACGTAACCGTTACAGATGCGAGAAAGTACATACAGTTGTAGCACAACTAGTTTTTAAGTATTGTTGAGTAACAACACTAACAACAATAACACCCTTCCTCCTGAGGAAAAGTTTCGGTATGCCCGGCATTCTCACTAATTTTCTATTTTAACATAATATTTTACACGTTGAAGAGCTGATTCGGTTGTATGGTTTACTGACTTGTCCAGGCTTCTTTTTTCAAAGGTCACGTAAAGTGTTCGCAAGTTCCTTTGCTTTTATCTAAGAACATGTTTATTTTCTATCTTCTCACTTCCTGTTTGTTTGTCAAACAGGAACGAGTGTGAAGAATTTAACAATTTTGTTCAAGGCGTACACCCGTTCTGTCTTGTGTAGGTGGCAACGAAGAATTCTGACGTATTTAGAAGAAAAATGGAAAATCTACGAGTTTACTCCAGGCTACCTGCGAATGTGAAATATCGACCAAACAGTGAAAACACAATGAAAATCTTCGGCTTTCAACGCTGTACGTCTCGAATAACGAATTACAGTCGCAAAAACACTACTTATTTTCGAGAATAATCCACAATCCCAAAAGAATTTTAAAATTAACAAACTACAATTTCCTCTTCCTAATTCTTAATGAGAGGAAACTGAGTTCGTTACACGAAATGTATTTATGAAACAGAGAATAAATAAACGAAATAATTAGAAAAAAAGTTGAAAAATGAATATTTAACAATATTAATATAAATTAAATAATAACACTCAATGTTGCTAGACTGTGCGGTTTCTACTATATTCATCCTTGGATTAAATTTTCTTCTACATAGATTCAGCTATCAATGAAAATTAAATAAATTAAAGGTGTTGTCAGGTATCAATTGTATATTTAAACAATATCTTTTCGATCGCGTAGCGATCTGAAAAATTACAGAAATAAATGAAATAATATAAATGAAGTATAAATTATACAAATTATTTACAAAATGTTAACATAGAAGAGCCTATGCCAGATACGTAAGCAAATAAGTTTAAATATATATTTGATACTGGTCAACCCCTTTTATTTATTTATTTTTCATTGATAGTTGAATCTACGTAGAAGAATTTAATCCAAGGATGAATATAGTAGTATCGGCACAGCCTAGTGATTTTGGGTGTTATTAATATGGACGACCAATTTAATTGTTCATCCCAATACAAAATGCACTTCTTACCTTCCTCTTTCGTTGGGTCAGCGCGCAGCAACTAATGCGACCCGCTTCATTCCACGCGCTGGGAGCGACGCGGTGCGGTCAGCCGTGGGAGGCAGTGGGATGGGCGCGCGCCTGCGCGTTCTCAAGGGCAGATGACGTAACACGACCTCGCGCCCGACAACGCTGAACTCGCCCATGTGGTTCAAGAGTACAAACGTCGAACTCAGAAAAAAATTGCATTACGATGTAAAAAAATCAATGGCAAACAGAAAAGTAAACTGAAAATAAAAATAAAATAGAAAAAAAACAGTAAACATTTCTTGGAAACAAATAAACTAATAAATAAAAAATTAAAAGGAATAAACATGAAAACTATTATTGCATACAGTTGTCGCATCATCCTCTTTTATTAAAGACAATCAAACGATTTATATTTGAACCCATTATATTTTATTTTCATCTTGCAACAAAAAACAACACCACCAAGAACAACGTTACTAGGACCTGGCAACAAGAGCTTTTTCCTTCGCAAATTCGTCGGTACAACACACTCTTCGCTGTGAGCCCGATCTGCAATACCGAAGCGTGTTGTGAAGAAGGATTTACTCAACAAAAATTGCAATAACTACTACAGTTGCCACCAATGATACATACTCACCCGGATATTTTCATGAGCGGGGGAGGGGAGGGTATGTTTTATTTAACATTTACACATTTTTTTAATTGTACAATCATAATTTTAATTTATTAGTTTAGAAACAATAAAAAAAATTACATTTCCATAGTCAACAATCTATAAAACAAATAATAAATGATTACATTAAAAATAGAATCTCTATATTAGTTTTCTGTAATATTTATTTTAAAAAAACTAACTTTTCTTCCAAGTTCATTTCTCATTTGAAACGGCTTTCTTTAGTAAGCATACTTGCTTCTTATTGTTTATGAATTTGTGAAATTCGGCGCAAGACATATCATAGTTTGGTTTAGTAGAGTTCCGCTTTGACTAATTCGACTCTCATCCTGTTTCTCAAATCGGACCAAATGTTTCCCATAATTGATCCGTTCTATGTAAGCATTACTTACGGGAATGGACAAAACCCTGCTAACAATTTTGGGTAGTTCTTTAAAATAATCTGATGCTATGAATCTAATGATCTAAATATTTAATAAAAAAAATTGAAAATGCAGAAAATGCGTGCAAATTCTTGAAATCTAAGAATCAGAAACATTTGAACGCGTAGAACATTCAATATTCAGCATGACCCGGAGATGAAAGTAATAAAAGCCGGAGTCCGGAGATTGGTCACGAAACCCGAAGTTTCCAGATGAAACCCGAAGAGGTGGCAACTTTAACAAGTACTGTGTTGCAGCCTTTTGTTAAGTGTCCAGCAGCAAAAAGTAGACTCTTCTGACTACAGGAGAGTCTCTTTATTCTAAAATGTCCCTTACCGAGAGGAAAACTTACGCAACAGCAACTACTGATGTTTTTCCGAAGAAAGAACAAGTCATCGTTATAGAAGCGAAAGACGGCACCTCAATCAAGGAGTACACCACAGCTGTAGCCGGCATTGTGAAGCCATGTAATGTTAGATTCATATCCAGAATCTCCAACAATAGGATCTGTATATTTTTTGTCGTCAAAAATGAAGCCGAAAAATTTACCTCCACAAACAGACAATTAAAATTAATGATCAACAGCTGCATGTTAGGCCACTAATAAATCGACACACTTGAGTAATTATCTCCAATGTGTGTCCGCATTATGTTATCGCTCAAGAACTTGAAAAAGGCAATGTCAAAATGACCACAAATATATTTTTTCTCAAAGCCAGATTTTGTGATTTGATCTGAGCCAGGATTTCAACATATAATGAGCTTTCGTCACCAAGATTATATTGACCGAGATTTAGCCAATAACTTACCTGAGACTCTAGTTAAATTTACTTTGAAGACACCACCTACAGAATTTCCATATCTGCAGATAACATGATATGTTTTGTTTGCAAACTGGAAGGTCATCTTGCTAGGTAATGCCCCAGTAAATCTAACCGACAACAAAGGTAACAAGAATCACAACAGTCAACTTAAAACACTAGCTCCTGTAGCCACATCCAGGGATAATACCAATTTTCCAAGCTTAAACAAGAGAAGTCTTCCATCTGAACCATAAAAAAAAAAGATAATAAAAAAACTTAAGAGTAGTAGTGTTACAGTTCAAGAAACATCTGATACTGATACTAGTTTGGAAAAACCTTAGTGAATTTATTAATAAATCACTCAGACAGAAGATGCAATAAACTACTAAAGAATTAAAGCAAATTAATTAAGAACTAACCTAAGCAATGATTGACTGCATCATGCAGTGGCCATCAACGGCCACAAAAGGAAAATTTATTAATCACAATTAACAAGTACAACCCAGACGTGATATGCCTACAAGAAACAAATTACAAAGAAGGACAAAAGTACAACATAAAAAATTGTAATTCATTTATAAAAAAACGGACCAATGCAGAAGTACAAAGTAGAGGTGTATCCGTGTATTCAAAAACAAACTTTAATTAAATAAGAAATTACCATCAATTCAAACCTCGAATGCATTGCAGTCAAAATTTGCCTAGCAAATATATCCCCATGTATCTGCAATATTTATTTACCCAACAGCTGTGACTTAAAATTGGGGATATGAAACAAATAATTGACAAACTTCCATGTCCATTTCTTCTCTTAGGTGACTTCAATAGTCACAGTTACATACGGTGTTCAAATAAAGAAGGTAAAAGGGAAAAATATAATGAAAATTTTAGAGGATACAAATCTAGTTCTACTTAATAATACCCTCCCTACACACTTTACCAATACTTCTAAAACTTTGAGGACCATTGATTTAATCATAAGTTCATCATCTATGGCTCATCGCTGGAACTGGATAACTGTGGATGTCCTATATAGAAGTGATCATTTTCCAATCATAATCACACATAATAAAAACTCCTTAACAACTGATAATGTACATTATACCCATAGGTGGAAATTTGATAAAGCAGATTTTGAAAAATATTAAAGAATAATAACAAAAATTAATGAGATCTTAGTGAACAACCACAATTTCCCCCTAAATGCTATTGAAAAAAATTGAGAATTTTACAAATTTAATATTAAAAACTGCTAATGAAATTATCCCAAAAACTACAGGAAAACAAGAAGAAAACAACTTCCGTAGTGGAATGAAGAATGTGCAATTGCTCTCAAAAAATACAGACATGCATTCTCTAAATACAAAAGACACCCATCTATCGAAAACCATATTGATTATAAAAAATCAAGAGCATGTGCAGGAAGAATATTCAAAGAAAATAAAAGAAATTCATGGATACAATTCATCTCTTCAATGAATCATCTCTCCAACATATGTGAAAACTGGAAAAAAATTAAATCAATAAATGGTACTTTCAAGCGACCTACTAATAGTAAACAATATTTTGTAATTACAAACTAGTAACATCCATATTAGCAAATCAATTAGCCAATAATTCAAGTGATAAATTCTTCAGTGATAAATTCCAAACATACACGGCAAATTCTGAAATTAAAATTAAAAATATACTACAAGAAAATACATATAATAATAGAATAATAAATGCTCTTCTGAATTCTTTTCATAAATTCTCTACATGAAATCAAGAACATCCTAACCTCTATAAGGAATTCCAGTCCAGGACCAGATGGCATCCTAACAAATTTCGAAAAGAACTCCCTCCAATGGTCATTATTGAGTATGTAACACATTTATTCAATGAACGTTTGACTCAAGGCATGTTGCCTGATAAGTGGAAAGAATCGATTGTTATTCCTGTCCTCAAGCCAGAGAAAGATCACTTCATACCAGAAGACTTCAGACCCATATGCTTAACATCTACCCTTTACAAATTAGAGAAGGCAATTAACAAAATATTAATTTGGTACCTTGAGAAGGAAAAATTACTAACTGCTGACCACTTAGTAAACATTCACAGCGATATATCTGATGTATTCATCTTAAAACAACATGTTGCTGCTGTAAGTCTGCATATTGAGAAGGCTTATGACATGTTATGGAAAGACAGAATTATCAACATCTTACTCAAATTAGGAATAGATGGTCACACATTAATCTTTATTGCCAACTTTATGGACAATAGATATATTAAAGTTAAATTAAATGGTGCCTTTTCTGACAGATATAAAACATTCAATGGCCTCCCTCAAGGATCTGTACTTAGTGTTTTTCTCTTCCTTATTGCTCTTGATGGAATTAAAAATCTAATTCTTCGACCAATAAATATATTTTTGTTTGCTGATGACATCACAATATTAATAAGTGGAAAAAAACATCAATACTTCTCAAAAAATGCTACAAAATAGTCTACATAATATTCAAGAATGGGCTTATAAATCAGAATTTAAGTTTTCCAAAACAAAGACTCAATGTATACTCTTCAAAAAAAAGAGACACATCTAATAAGCAACTTAAATTGACATTAGGTTCACAAATTATTAAATCTTCGAATCAAAATTTTAGGAATGAATTTTGATAGTAAAATTACATGGAAACCACACATAAAAATATTAAAAACGGAATGTTTTCACAGACCGAATACAATAAAGTGTATCGCAGCTTCTAACTGAGGAGCCGACAAAAATAGTATACTCCTTCCTACGAAGATCTTATAAGGTCGACAGTTGATTACGGATCTGTAATATATCAAGCTTGGTTACAGATCTGTAATATATCAAGCTTGGTTACAGATCTGTAATATATCAAGCTTGATTACAGATCTGTAATATATAAAGCTTGATTACAGATCTGTAATATATCGATCTGCTAATCCAACAATTTTAAATACTCTCAATACGATTCAATCGACTTGCCTATAGAACCAGTCCAATCTCAAGTATTCTAGCGGAAGCTAACGAAGAACCATTGTACATCAGAAGAAGGAAAGTTTGCTACACATATACTTGCAAAATTAAAAATCTCCACTCAATCCCACATATAAGAACATGTCTTCTACTAGGAACAGTGAAAAATACTCCAAGTATTCAAGATCAGTCTACCACCTACTAAATCAATTTCTCAAAGAAACACAAATAGAGTATCCTTTAATTAAACAAAATTTAATTCTTAAAAGAACTCCTTGGATAACATCAAAGATAAAAATTAATAAAGATCTATGTTCACACTCCAAGAAAAATACAAATCCACTAATATATCAATCTCTCTACAATGAAATTAAAAACAAGTACGAGATCTACATAAGTGTCTTCACAGGTGGTTCCAAAACAAAAAATGGGTCAGGATGTGCTTTATATAATATCATTGAACATATCAAACTCAATGATATTTGTTCAATTTTCTACTGTGAAGCATATGCTATACTAAAAGCTTTAAAGAATATTTCATTATTACCCAAGAATAAATTTATAATAAATACAGACTCCCAAAGAGTCATTGAAACATAACAGATGAGAACCTATAATTAAAGAAATAGTAAATGTATACTATGACCCAAATCAAAAAGAGAAAGAAGTAATTATTGTATGGATTCCATCCCGTATTGGCATCAATGGAAATTCAATTGTTAATGCAGCAAGGGAAGCGATTAACTTACCACCATAAGAACACTCAATATCCCATACAGATATTAAAAAAGAGCATCACCATAGAAATAGAAAATTTTGGAATGAATGGATTAAATCACCTCCAACCAAGCTATTTGAAATAAGGAATTCAATCCTTTATTACCAAGTCCATCTTAAAAACAGACGAGAACTAAGTGTTCTCACTAGTCTATCAATTGGCCATTCAAAATTAACTCAGGAGCATCTGATTACTAAAGAAGACCTTAAAATATGTGACTATTGTAAAATTTTACTAACTATACCACATATTCTCACAGAGTGCCAAAAGTATAATAATCTGAGAAGAAAGTATGTTTTGTCTAATGACATTAAAAGTTTACTGAATATGACAATACTGAAATTAAAAAAAGTAATGAAGTTTTTAAAAGAAATAAAAATGTATGACCTTATGTAAACTTTTTCTTGTGTTATGCTAATTATTAAGTAAATTGTGTTAGGTAACTTAATTTCTTCTTCTCAACATTTGACTTAAGAGATATTTGGCTGTGTGGTAGCTTTTTCCTCTTGAATTGGTGTATATAATTTTTTTTAATAATGTTATTGGAAGTTGACATTTCTTGACTAAAATTTGTGCTTTTCTGTCATAGAGAAACTAATTAATTTATATGATGCTTCAAGACAAACATATGTAATGAAAATATGTGACATCATATGAAATCTCCTCTTGATATTATGTAATATACATTTTATTTTATCTACTCTTGTTATTGAAAAGAACAATATAAAAATATTACTTGCAATTTAAATTAAGCCTAGTAATTTAATCACATGGAAATTGATTGATGAAATTTATTTTTTAAATATATGATGGTTGTTTTCTAAGTACTATATACAAATTGAAATTAACAACACATATATTATGTTGGCTTAAATATTCATTTCATTGGTCTCGGCTAGTTATTCGAACTTACTTGTAGCCATCTATCGCATCAAAAATACTTTCTTTTTTAAATTTCTTAATTTTTCGGTTTACTAATAATAGAACGGAAATATTATTTTAAGAATATTATATAATGGAAAGCCCATTTCCTAAATGGGAATTTTCTTTGAAAAATATAGAGAAGAAAATGGCGTTTAAACGCTACAGTATATTCGAAATTCGAAGCACTTTTTGACAGAAAAGTTTTGAGTTTACGAAAAACTTCATTAGACGTCATTTGAAGTCACAAATACAACAGTGTTTACAAATTGCTGAAAATCTCTACTTTACCGACATGAGAAATATTTAAAAAAATACATCTGTGTAATTTTCGGTATCAATACATACAATACATCATGTATGTAATATCAATACATTTGTGTAATTTGTTTAAAAAATTACTGTACATCATATTAAAAAGCGCAATTAGCACTACCCATTCGCAAATTTTAAAGAAGAATGTTGAGGTGTTTTCGGAAAAAAAAAGAAAAAAAGAAAAAAAAAAGCGTTTGAGCCTGAAATTGCAAAATTTTGAGCTAGTTTTCACAGAACACGGTT